GCTCTATTCTAATTTTGTCTATTTGCTATCCAACATTCTTTATGGACTCCCCTAAAAATCTGAAAAAGAGGATCCAAAACCCTAGCCTATCCCAGTGTTTAAGTCTCGACCAAGAGTGGGCCTAACAGAGAGACACCCAAACATATTACCTTGACTAGAGACAGACTGACTGAACACAACTTGTAGTTTGCTGACTCTTTTCAGACTGAATTCTGTCTTCCCTTATCCCCCGACACGCTTACAAAAATTCCACTCACTCATTCACCCAGTATATATTTGGGGAGCAGCTATATATTCTAGGCAGAGGGGAAGGAGAGTGGTCCCTGCAGTCACAGAGCCGACAGTAAGGAGGGCACCATGAATGTGAAAGCACTGACAAATGTGAAATGGTTACAGTGGAGAAACAGAGTGTTACTGGGTCACACACCAGAAAGACCTTACCTAGTTAAAAGGGTCAGGGCAAATCTCCCAGAGGAAAAGATGTTTAATCTAAGCACCAAAGGATGAAAAGAAGCTGCCAGGTAAAAATTGAGGATAAAGATTTCTTAGGTGGGGAAACAGCATGCTGAGGGCAGAAAGGAGAGAAACGGTTTGGAAATCACAAAGAGGTGGGGACAACCAATTTGGCTATGGTGGAGGGAATGTGAGGCAGAACAGCCCATGGCCTGGGCATTAAGGGAGCAGTGGATTGTGGATGGCAGTATATCCCAGGTCAAATGTCAGCACAGTGAGAATTTACTGTATACCTGCTACACGCCAGGAACTGAGCATTTAAGGATATTTAAGGCATGTTTTCTTGCCCCCCAGGAACTCACATTCTTCAGTGGAGACTGACAGCCAAACCTGTAGTGAGGTAAGAGTCAAACTAGATATATGTTCAAGTAGTTCACAGAAAGAATTATTAACCTTTTCTGGCAGTTTAGAAAAAACTTCCTAGAAGAAGTAATGCCTGGACAGGGATATGAAAAATAAGTATGAGTTCCCAAACTGACAATGGTGAGGTGAGGGACCAGCATGTACAAAATCACAGGGCCATGAAAAAAAATCATGGCTTTTCCATGAAAGAGCTCCCTGACAGCCCAGAGAAGAAAGTATTCATTCTCAAGTCCCTCAGAATTTAGGGCCTCTGCACCACAATGAAGTCAGTGTACAGGATGGTAAGGTACTTGAAAGGAAAGGCTTCATCCTCCTCATTTAAAAAAATCGCCAGTGTAGAGTATCACAGTATTTGGCTTAGAGAAGGCACTACCATTAAATATGTATTTATAGAATAAAAAACTATGTATTGAATTAAAATTAAGTAAGTGGTCCCTTATATACAGATGGAATAAGAGGAAATATACTTTAATATGCTTTTCAGGAGCTGGGAAGGAGATTACCTAAGAAGGAAGGGCTGGGCAGTGAAATCCCTCTGACTTTAAAAGTTCAAATGACAGGGAAAGGCTTCATCGAATTGAGGTGCCGGGGCCTCCCCAGTAAAAGAAGGCAACAAAAATGGGTGAGAATGACACAACATATAGTGTACTAACAATTACAAATGTTTAAGATTGAACATTTGTATTAGTTTTTGAAAAACAGTCTATCTACAAATACTGAGATAATCAAGGATTTGGCAGAGTTGATATCATTCAAGCACAGAAAAGAATTTAATAGTTCATCTCGTCTTCTCCTTCCCGTATCTGAGCCTTGAGTTTTGAGAAACCATTTAAATTAACTTCAAAATGTTCTTATAGACATTAATAAACTCTGTCCATACCAATGAATTCTGATGATGCCATTGTTTCCATGGTAACTAATGCACTTCAAAAGGAGAAAAAAATACAGAGCAAAACTAACAATGAGCAAAAAATGGAACAAAGTGGTATAAACAAAGCATAACATTTCTCCTTGGCATTTGTGGAATACTTTCTAATTTCAAATGTTTTACCATTACTTAGACTCCAAGGCTCCTAAGTGCCAGAAGGATCTAAGGTTAGCAAGTCCACCTCCCATTCACAGCTGGGATTCCCTGTACAATGTGGCTGTTCCAGGGTTGTCCAACTGCTTACAGAGTTCATTGCCTAGCTCTGTGTGAGACAATGAACTCTGTGTGATCTGGAAAGTTCTCAGTCTCAATTGCAAAGATTACTGAGCACCTACTTTGTTCTGCAGGTTTAGATGATGATTAAGACATTCTACATTCTTTTAAAATTTTGCTGTTCATAGGGCAAATAATTAAAACACAGTGGTGAAAAAAGAGCTGTCCAATAAAGGTACAGGACAATGTTAGAAAAACCAACTTGGAAGGATTATGCATTTCTGATGACTTTTGTTTCCACGCCACTTCAGCCCCATAGCCGTGACCAACCACGCGGGCCTTCCCAGGATCCAGGATGGGTCCAACTCTGAAACTTTCTGATCACAAACAACTCTTATAGTTCCGAACTAATCCTGCACGAGTCCTATGAGCCTCATGCAGCCTAAGATTCTTCCATTGGAATAATTCCTCATGCTATTTCCTCGCTGACATTCTCAACTTTTACCCTTCAGTGGCACTCACTTAGCAATAGCCTGACCTGGACTTAGTGACCATCCATCCCTCTTCCCCACTATTACATTCCATAAGGATTCTCTGTCCCACCTTCTGTCCTACAGTGTAGAGAAGACTGTCAGAACAATTATGAGATTATTTGCCTCTTTATTTACAGGGCAGTAAGTGTAAGATAAGTGAAAATAACTTAAGGACCAAAATCTACATTTGCTGACTTTGGCAACAAAGGTCACTTAGACTCTCAACTAGTGAAGTGCATGTAGGACCTGCCCCACAGCCACAGTTGCCTCAAATGACAGCACCAGTTGAAATGGTCTTTTGATAATTTACCAGGGAAAATAACAAATAGCTCTTGCTTCTGCTTTTCTGAAACTTTTCCCTCACAGATTTCCTGATGCTTATGAGTGCTTGGACATAAGCCTCCACCCTTATCTTAAAGAATGAGCAGTTAAGCACTCCCTTATACACTGATAGCAGGGCTGTCATCCTGACCTTGAAGTGGTAGTAACAGACCACTGGCCCTGTTATTTAATTTCTGCCCGAAGAAGGATTATGGATTACTTGGTCTCATAACTTTTGGTAGATAGCCTTCTCTCTAACTCTTTGCTGATTTATATTTTAAAATCCCATATAAGTAACACTATTTAGTTATCGGAGGGCATTACTTGTATCAGTTTATCTTGGAGGGAATAATAGGAAGTCACATTGCTCAAACTAAGTGCTTCACTGAGACAGTTTTCTGTCCTAGGTGGGCATTTGGTTACTATAGCTTTACAATTTTTCCAAGCCACAACTCACAATATAGAACACCATTTTGGGGGTTTTATCATTCATTTATTCACATACAAAAGCTGTGCCTGAAACACTTTCTCACCACAATGTTAACACTGCTAGTGAGAACACTCTCAGATCACCTAGAAGGTAAGCAGACAGACAGCATCCTTATCAGACTCCTCAATTTTCCTAAGAGCGTGTTGACCCAACCTAGAGCTCCACCCATGGCTTGTAAGTGCAGACAGCTCTGTACTAATTGGCAAGTGAAGAGACGCAATTGTCAAAGAGGATCATCTCAACTCTACTACTGTACTATTTGATACTTCTCAGAAGCTCTCCTGAGAGAAACACATTTATGAAAGCTTCTCTGAGAGTCTATTCATTCTACCACATCTCTGGATCTTATGCCATATCACTGAATAATTTAATAAAACAAAGACAAAGTGAACATACAGTTGGGAGGTGGGGAGGGAGAGGAGAGAGAATTATGAAAACCCTGAAATTAATCCACGGGCTGAAGTCTAAAAGGCTCTGATCTATAAACCCTAAAATCTGTCTCTAAATTAAGTAAGGCCACAAGAGAGCCATATTGATGAAAGCATCACATTGGCTTTGTTTTGAAATGCTTATTATACACTGTCCACTTGCACAGGTCCACTTGCTTTTGCTAAGGCACACTAGGAGGAAGAATCTCTATTTATGGTAAAGAAGGTGATGAGATTGTGTTTATAGCTACAGGATGTCTTTTTTCTGGGAATCTAGGGGAGGCTTCTACCTCTCTAGTCTCAGCTCTGCTTCACTTGAGCATCAACCTCTTTTTTAGCCTCATGGAAATGGACAAGTTTATAATATTCTCATCTTCCTTTCCTTCCCAGTGGCTGCTAAAAATTAATGGCCTACTTCTAGCATGTATTTAAGCCCCTTAATGACATGTGATTTGTTTACAAATTTCACCTCTGACTCCATTTGATTTAATTGTCCTTTGCCTTATTTTCATTATATCATTATTTTTAATTTGTTCTCCCTGCCACATTGTATAGAAAATCCTTTGATACCTTTTACAAGATGGAGAGCTATAAGTGAATTAAATTGTAGGAGACAGAAGGAAAGAAGACACCCTTCTACCTATGTTCCCACTGGTTATATGTTCAAGTATATCCACCTAAATAATTTCCTAAAATACACTTGTTATTCATTTAGTTTTTGGAGGCGATGGTCAATGAGAATACAAGTATTTGAGAGAGGTAGCATTTACTCAGAAAACTCATACTGGAAGGATATTTTAAAATATACTTTTTAAACATTTTCATTTATTGGTTTGAGAGAGAAGAATGTGGGTGGGGGAGAGAGATAAGGAGAGAAAGACATAGATATGTTGTTCTACTTATTTATGCAGTCATAGGTTGCTTCTTATATGTGGCCTGATGGGAGATCAAACCTGCAACCTTGGCATATCAGGACTATACTCTAGCCATCTGAGCTACCTAACCAGGGCTAGAATTCTTCTTGATTAATATAATGTATATATGTGTTTGCCCCTAAATGTATGTTTTTAAAGTAATCATAAGATGAAGTAGGGTTTTCATATAGACTTCTGCACATAACTAAATTAAAACTTGGACTGTATTTCTCAATGACTTGCTTATTCAGTTAGAAGTATCATATGTTTTTGCAATAGTGACACATAAATGCTTACAGGCACATGGACTTTTCGAAACATCTCAGCACCCTTGTGTGCATCCATCAGTGCAATGTCCTGAGGCGTGGAGACAATCACAGCACCTAACCAAAAGAAAACAAAAGAGAACAAAATAGTGTTATCATTTAATTATTTATGGAAAGATTACTCCCAAAATTATACTGCTTACATACTAAAAGAGTCTACCACAGTACCTATTTGTGTAATTTGTATAAATTTTGCATATATGAATGGGAAAGTTGAGGAAACATCTACCTTGCTCTTGTCTATATTTGACTCCTCACTTCTAATATGACAACTGACTGACCAGTGGATTCAAGATCACAGATGTATCATCAGAACCTCCACCCCATTCAGACAACACGCTGTTTGGAAGATGCACATCCTGGCTTACTTTCAAGAAGCTAGTAGTCTACTTAGGAAGACAAAAAAAATTAAGGATTACAACACAACATGCTAAGCATTACAACAGAGGTAGCCTAAGGTGTTATGGAGTTCTAAAGGAGGAATAAAGAAAAATAATTCCGATCCAAAATGGCAGAGGAGTAAGTGGAAGCTACACTAACCTCCTCCCAGGACCCATCTAGAATTACAACTAAATTGTAGAGAAATCATCCTTAATAACCAACTGAAGACTAAATGGAGAGAAACCTCATAACCAAGGACAGACAAAAGAAAACACTTCATCTCAATGAGACTGGTGGGCAGTGTCAATGGCATGAGAGGGATAGCTGGGCTCCCACAGGAAGCAGCTGAAGTTCTGGAGGGATATTTCAGTGGCTAGGGACTTCCCCCGGAGAAGTAAGGGATCTAATCTGGGCTCTCCAGCTGACATTACCAGGGCTGAAAAGGAACCCAGATAACATTCAGCTGTGAAAAGTATCATGGTTTTTATCCACCAGGGAGAGATGGCTAGAGATGCAGAGAACCTGTTAAAGAGCCAATGCACAAAACTTCCTTTGCAGCGACTTACCCTGTGCTCCATCAGTGAGAGGGCAGAGTGGACTAGAGACACTTGAGGAGAGTCTGGGGTAGGTGGCTCTGGGGAGAGAACTGAAGAAACAGCCACCAGGATCCCTGTGCTGAGTCATTCCCAATAACTACAGGAGCCACTTCTCTCAGGCAGAGCATTCCTCTCTAACGGCAGCAGCCTGAGGGGAAGCAATAGCCCTGCCCACAGAACTACTATGCCCCACCCTATGCTGCTTAAGCCAGGCTGCTGATCACAGCTTGATTAGATTAGCAACTGATCAATTTCAACAGCTGATTAGGTGAACAACTAAGGTGAAAAATGCAAAGAAGCAGCCAAAATGAGAAAACAAAGAAACAAACCCCAAATAAAGGAACAAAAGAATTCTCCAGAAGAAAAACTAGACAAAATGGAGGCAAGTAATTTATCAGATGGAGTTTGGAGTAATGATTATAAGGATACTCAATAGCATGAAAAAAGACACAGAAATCATAAAAAGGAACGATTCATAAATTAAGATCGTAATATCTGAAATAAATAATATACTGGAAGAAGTAAATAGTAGGTTAGATGAAGCAGAGGAACAAATCATTGATTTAGAAAACAAGGTAGAAAAAAACATCCAGGCAGAACAACAAAAAGAAAAAGGAATTTAAAAAACTGAGGAGAGCTTAAGAAACATTTTGGACAACATGAAGCTTAATAATATCTGCATCGTGGGAATACCAAAAGGAGAAGAGAGTGAGCAAGGGATTGAGGACCTATTGAAGAAACAATGACCAAAAACTTCCCTAATCTGGTAAAAGAAAAAAACACACAAGTTCAGGAAGCTCAGAGAGTTCCAAACAAGTTGGACCCAAAGAGGCCTACACTGAGATACAACATAATTAAAATGACAAGGCTTAAAGACAAGGAGAGAACCCTAAAATCTGCAAGAGAAAAGCAGGGAGTCATTTACAAGGGAGTACCAATTAAATTGGAATCTGATTACTCAACAGAATCATTTCAGGCCAGAAGTGAGTGGCGTGAAATATTCAAGGTGATGAAAAGCAAGGACCTACAACCCAGGCTACTTTACCCAGAAAGGCTATCATTTGAAATGGAAGGAGAAATGAGTTTCCCAGACATGAAAAAGCTAAAGGAGTTTGTTAACACAAAACCTGTAGTGCAACAAAAGTCAAAGAAATTGCTTTAAGAAGATAAAGAAAAAAGAAAAAAACAAAAGAAAACAACCTAACAATAAAATGGTACTCAATACATATCTATCAATATTCACTTTAAATGTAAATAGCTTAAATGCTCCAACCTGAAGACAGAGAGTAGCTGAATGGACAAGAAAACAAGACTCATATCTATGCTGCCTCCAAGAGACTCACCTTAGATAGAAAGATACATATAGAGTAAAAGCAAAGAGATGGAAAAAGATAGTTCATGTAAATGGAAATGAAAAGAAAGCTGGGGTAGCAGTACTTACATCTGAAAAAAACAGACTTTAAAACCAAGGCTGTAGTAAGAGACAAAAGATGCTATGTAATGATAAAAGGAACAATGCAACAAGAGGATATAATGCTAGTAAACATTTATGCATCCAACATAGGAGCACCTAATAAGGTGCACCTAATAAGCATCAAGCAAATCTTGATGACATAAGGGAGAGACCAACAGAAATACAGTCATAAAAGGGGATTTTCACAGCCCTTTAACTTCAATGGATCAATCTTACAGACATAAAATCAACAAGGAGACAATGGCGTTAAACAACATACGAGGTCAAATGGATGTAATTGATATCTTTAGAGCATTTCACCCCAAAGCAGCAGAATATACATACTTTTCAAGTGCACATGGAATGTTTTCTAGGATAGACCACATGTTTGGACAGACAACAAGTCACAACAAAATTAGGAAGACTGAAATCATATCAAGCATCTTCACTGACCACAATGCTGTGAAACTAGAAATCAATCACAAGAAGAACACCGAAAAACACTCAAAGACATGGAAGCTGAATAACGTGCTATTAAAAAATGAATGGGTCAACAACAAGGTCAAGGAATAAATCAAAAGATGCCTTGAAACAAATAAAAATGAGGACAAAACAATCCTAAACTTGTGGTATACTTGGAAAGCAATGCTAAGAGGGAAATCTATATAGCATTACAGGCTTATTAAAAACACACACACACACACACACACACACATACACACAGGAAAAAGCTCAAATAAACAATCTAACTTCACACTTAAAGGAACTTGAAAAAGAACAACAAATGGCTTCATTTGTGAGTAGTGAGTAAAAAAGTGAGTAGAAGGAAGTGAGTAAAGTGAGTAGAAGGAAGGAAATAATTAAGATCAGAGCAGAAATAAATGAAATAGAGTCTAAAAAATGACACAAAAGAGCAACAATCCAAGAGCTGGTTCTTTGTAAAGATAAATAAGGTTGATAAACCTATAACTAGACAAAGGAAGGAAAGAAAAGAAAAGAAAAGAAAAGAAAGAAAGAAAGAAAGAAAGAAAGAAAGAAAGAAAGAAAGAAAGAAAAGAAAGAAAGAAAGAGAAAGAAAGAAAGAAAGAAAGAAAGAAAGAAAGAAGACCTAGATAAACAAAATCAGAAATGAAAGAGGAGAAATAACAACTGATACCAAAGAAATACAAAGGATTGTAAGAAAATACTACGAACAATGATATGCTAACAAATTGGACAACCTGGGCAAAATGGATAAATTCCTAAACACATACAATTTTCCAAAAGTAAATCAGGAAGAAACATGGAATTTGAAGAGACAGATTATGCCTAGTGAAATTGAAGCAGTAATCAAAAATGTCCAATAAACAAAAGCCCTGGACCAGATGGCTTTTAGGTGGATCTTACCAAACATTTCTAGAAGGACTAACATCTCTCCTTCTCAAACTAGTTCATAAAATTCAAGTGAAAGAAAGGCTCCCAAACTCACTTTATGAGGCTAGCATTATCCTAATTCCAAAACCAGATAAAGACACTAAAAAGGAAGAAAATTATAGGCCAATGGCCCTGATGAACACAGACCCTAAAATCCTCAAAAAAATATTAGCAAACTGAATACAGCAATGCATCAAAAAGATCACACACCATGATCAAGTGGGACTTATTCCAGGAATGCAAGGTTGGTACAATATTTGCAAATCAATAAATGTGATTCACCATATGAATAATATGAAGGATGAAAACCACATATTTATATCAATAGATACAGAAAAAGCATTTGATAAAATCCAGCACCCATTTCAATACAAAAACTGTCAGTAAAGTGGAATTAGAGGGAATGTACCTAAACACAATACAGGCCATTTTTGACAAACCCACTACCAGCATCATCCTAATTGGACAAAAACTATAAGCATTCCCCTTGTGATCAGGAACAAGAGAGAGATGTCTACTTTCACCTCTCTTATTCAAAATAGCAGTGGAGGTTCTCGCTACAGCAATCAGACAAGAAGAAGAAATAAAGGGCATCCATATTGTAAAGGAAGAAGTAAAACTGTCATTATTTGCAGATGACATGATATTGTACATAGAAAACCCCAAAGATTTCACCAAGAAACTACTAGAACTGATAAATGAATTCAGCAAAGTAGCAGGATACAAAATTAATATCCAGAAATCAGTTGCATTTTTATAGGCCAAACAACAAACTATCAGAAAGGAAGATTAAGGAAACAATCCATTCACAATTGCTACAAAAAGAATAAAATACCTAGGAATAAAGCTAACCAAAAATGTGAAAGACCTGTATTCAGAAAAGTATGAGACACTGAAAAGACATTAAAGAAGATACAGTAAGTGGAAGCACATACCGTGTTCATGGATAGGAAGAATTAACATCATTAAAATGTCCATGCTACCCAAAGCAATCTATAGATTCTATGCAATTCCCATCAATATCCCAATGACATATTGCAAAGAACTAGAACAAATATTTCAAAAATTTATATGGAACCACAAAAGGCCCTGCATAGAAAGAGTAACCCTGAAAAAGAACAAAGTTGGAAGAATCATGGCTCTGAAATGTGAAACTATACTATAAAGCTATAGTAATCAAAACAGCATGTTACTGGCATAAAAAGAGACACATA